AAGATGTACTGTTGGTCTCCGAGGCAGTTTTGTGGAGAGGTGCTGAGGAAGGCGGAGAAGAAACACTGCTTAGTCAAAAAAATACCAACAGAGGTTTCGTGGAACACTTCTTGGCTAACAGTGCTAACAGAGGTTCAGTGGAACACTTCTTGGCTAACAATACCAACAGAGGTTCAGTATTATGCTCGGCGAAAAGCTGGAAGAATGTTCGTGCAGATGATGTTCATTTGTTAACTGTTTAAACAGTAATAACATTTGCTTCCTCCTGTGCCAGAAGCGTCATCGGAAAGTAAACAGACCTCTTAATATTACTTTCCTGTTATCCTGACTTCAGTTCGCTCCATCTGCCTCTTAATATCAACAACAACAAAAATATCCCCCAAAAATTCAGACAATTTTGATTAATAATTGGCTGCAGAGTGGAAATGGGAAGCGCGTCTATGTCGACCTGACGAAGGATCGAGCCTCCACCATGTCTAGCGCTGAATGACCCACATGGGTTTAAGTGCTCAACATTAATTAAATAATAATATAGGTCCAGAGACGAGCAGCTTGTTAACACTTATGGATGCGTTCTGTGGTTGTGACACAACATTATGCCTGTTTGGTCTTACAAAAGGGGCTCGAATTTGAAGTAAATATGGATCCATCCTGCCTTGTGTCAACGGTACGTCCTGCCTTGTGTCAACGGTACGTCCTGCCTTGTGTCAACGGTACGTCCTGCCTTGTGTCAACGGTACGTCCTGCCTTGTGTCAACGGTACGTCCTGCCTTGTGTCAACGGTACGTCCTGCCTTGTGTCAACGGTACGTCCTGCCTTGTGTCAACGGTACGTCCTGCCTTGTGTCAACGGTACGTCCTGCCTTGTGTCAACGGTACGTCCTGCCTTGTGTCAACGGTACGTCCTGCCTTGTGTCAACGGTACGTCCTGCCTTGTGTCAACGGTACGTCCTGCCTTGTGTCAACGGTACGTCCTGCCTTGTGTCAACGGTACGTCCTGCCTTGTGTCAACGGTACGTCCTGCCTTGTGTCAACGGTACGTCCTGCCTTGTGTCAACGGTACGTCCTGCCTTGTGTCAACGGTACGTCCTGCCTTGTGTCAACGGTACGTCCTGCCTTGTGTCAACGGTACGTCCTGCCTTGTGTCAACGGTACGTCCTGCCTTGTGTCAACGGTACGTCCTGCCTTGTGTCAACGGTACGTCCTGCCTTATGTCAACGGCACAGACTGGTGCTGATGTTGGTGTTAGTGGTGGTGGAGTAACGGTATGGGGAACGTTGAAGATGTGGAGGAATACTCATTTCAAGAAGGAGGCAGAAGTATTCCGCCGACTGGCAGCCACAGATGAGGTCACCTCAGCTGGAGAAGAGGCGCTTGTCTGCCTGTACAGTCGTGTCGTCAGGTAAAGCACTGCATGAAATGCATTAACGGCGATTTCGCGAGGAAGTTACTGCAAATACCTTCTCCATGCTGGTTCACACTCTGCCACCAACAGCTGCAGCACTACGGCATCACAGCTGCCGTGTTTGCTTCCAAGTTCAGCACTGTGGAGAAATAGATACAAATGCAGTATAATGCGATCTGCGATCCTTTATTGACTACGTTTCGCCCACAAAGTGGGCTTATCAAGCCACAAACAGATCTACTTGGGTAAAGAGATGTATTTGAGACGGACCTGCAGTTCCGGCGGAGTCGTGTTCCTTGAATATTCATCACTGTAACAGAGAAAATATTAACTCTTGTAATTAATTCTGGGCTGATTCATTTTCCTTAATGGATTGATTGGTCTTAATACACTCTAGCGAGGTCAGGACGTACCCGATCCGCTCTAGCGAGCTAAGGACGCACCCAGTCCGTTCTAGCGAGCAAAGCGCGCACCCAGTCCGCTCTCGGAGCTCGGAACGTACCCAGTCCGTTCTAGCGAGCTAAGGATGCACTCGGTCCGCTTTAGCGAGCCCGAAACGTACCCAGTCCGCCCTAGTGAGCTAAGGACGTACCCACGTACCCATTCTAGCGAGCTCAGAATGCACTCAGTCCGCTCTAGCAAGCTCAGAATGCACCCAATCCGCTCTAGCGAGCTCAGAATGCACTCAGTCCGCTCTAGCAAGCTCAGAATGCACCCAATCCTCTCTAGCAAGCTCAGAATGCACCCAGTCCGCTCTAGCGAGCTTAGAATGCATCCAGTCCTTTCTATTGAGCTTAAGACGTACCCTCTCTGCTATAGTGAGCTAAGGACATCCCCACCTGCTCTAGTGAGCTTAGGACGTCCCCACCTGCTCTAGTGAGCTAAGGACGTACTCACTCTGCTCTAGCGAGCTCGAAATGCACCCAGTACGCTCTAGCGAGCTAAGGACGACCCAGGTCTGCTTGAAGGGACGCAGGACGTAACGCGATGACCACAGCGCATGAGAAGAGAGGACACAGCCAGGAAATTACGTAAAAATGAGGAAATTGGGAAGAAAGCGGCGGGGCGAGGCTGATACAGCGGTCTGGGGGAGGTGAGGAAAGGGGAGAATAAAAGGGTGGGGGAGGAAGGGGCATAGATAAGAGAGGAAGGGGAAGAAGTAGGAGAGGGAGAAATGTGAGATACACTGGGGAGGTAAGGTAGAGAAATAGAGAAGGGGAGGGAAAAGGGGAAAGGAAGAGGGAGAAAAGAAGTAGGTGGAGAGGCAGGATTGGGAGATAGGAGGAGAGGTGAGATGTGAGGATGGAGAGGAAGGAGAAGGAGAGATGAGAACATCAGATAGATGGAGTGGACATGAGATGGAAAGAGTTAACATGAGACAGAAGGAGTGGACATGACATAGAAGGAGGGGACATGCCAATGACATAGAAGGAGAGGACATGACACTGAAGGAGCGGACATGACACAGAAGGAGTGCACATGACATAGAAGGAGAGGACATGACACAGGAGTGCACATGACATAGAAGGAGAGGACATGACACAGAAGGAGACATGGCATAGGAGTGGAAACTAAGGAGAGGAAAGAGAATATGATATCAAACAGCTCCACCCCTACTCCATCTCCCCTTCCCCTCTCATCCCCTCACCCTGCCTCCCCTACCCCATCTCCCCTTCCTCTCTCATCCCCTCACCCTGCCTCCCCTACTCCATCTTCTCTTCCCCTCTTATCCCCTCACCCTGCCTCCCCTACTCCATCTTCCCTTCCCCTCTCATCCCCTCACCCTGCCTCCCCTACCCCATCTCCCCTTCCCCTCTCATCCCCTCACCCTGCCTCCCCTACTCCATCTTCCCTTCCCCTCTCATCCCCTCACCCTGCCTTCCCTACCCCAATCAACAATGCCCACTACTCGCTAAGGGAGGGTTTGTACCCCTGGTAAGCCCGGTTCTAAAACACAGCAAGCCAGGCTTCAAAAACCAGTAAGCCAGGTTCTAAAATCCAGGAAGCTAAGTTCTAAAATCTAGCAAGTCAGGTTCTAGAATCTAGCAAGACAGGTTCTAAAATCTATTAAGCCAGGTTCTAGCATCTAGCAAGACAGGTTCTAAAATCTAGCAAGCCAGGTTCTAACATCTAGCAAGCCAGGTTCTAACATCTAGCAAGCCAGGTTCTAAAATCTAACAAGCCAGGTTCTAAAATCTAGCAAACCAGGTTCTAAAATCTAGCAAGCCAGGTTCTAAAATCTATCAAGCCAGGTTCTAAAATCTAGCAAGCCAGGTTCTAAAATCTATCAAGCCAGGTTCTAAAATCTAGCAAGCCAGGTTCTAACATCTAGCAAGCCAGGTTCTAAAATCTAGCAAGCCAGGTTCTAACATCTAGCAAGCCAGGTTCTAACATCTAGCAAGCCAGGTTCTAAAATATAGCAAGCCAGGTTCTAACATCTAGCAAGCCAGGTTCTAACATCTAGCAAGCCAGGTT